AGTGAGAAAGGATTGCTAATTCTTTCCAAAAAGTCACTCATCTCTTTTGTCAAAGGTACAATGATAAAACCTTGTAACTATTACTTATTTGGTAAACAACATAGAGTCTCATTTCAGACATCATCTGAAAGAAAGTTGAATATACTTGATTTGGTATATTTTGATGTTTGTGGTCCAATGGAGATAAAATTGATAGGAGGTAATAAATACTTTGTTACCTTTATTGATGAAGCTTCTCGAAAATTGTGGGTTTATATCTTGAGAACCAAAGATCAGGTGTTTCAAGTATTTCAAAAGATTCATGCTCTGGTAGAAAGAGAGACATGTTGAAAGTTAAAACGTCTCTGAACCGACAATGGAGGTGAGTACACTTCAAGAGAATTTGAAGAGTATTGTTCAAACCATGGAATCAAACATGAAAAGACAGTTTCTAGAACCCCACAACACAAAGGTGTAACTGAAAGAATGAATCGCACCATTGTTGAGAAGGTGAGAAACATGCTCAGAATGGCTAAATTAGCTAAGACATTCTGGGGTGAAGTAGTTCGAACAGCGTGTTATCTTATTAATTGTAGTCCATCAAATCCATAGGAGTTTGACTTTCCGAAGAGAGTTTGGACCAATAAGGAGATGTCTTACTCGAACCTAAAGGTATTCGGCTGCAAAGCTTTTGCACATGTACCGAAGGAGCAGAGAACCAAGCTAGATGATAAATTAGTTCCCTGCATATTCATCGGATATGAGGATGAAGAGTTCGGCTACAAACTATGGGATCTTGTAAAGAAGAATGTCATTAGAAGCAGAGACGTAATCTTTAGAGAAAGTGAAGTTGGAACTGTTGATGATCTATCCGAGAAGGCCGATAAAAAGAATGGTATAGTCCCTAATCTTGTAATCATTCCTTCTTCTTCTAACCATCCCATAAGTGCAAAAAGTACTATCGATGAAGTTGTTGAACATTAAGAGCGACCTAATGAGATTATTGAGCAGGGGGAGCAACTTGGTGATAATACCGAGCAAATGGAGTACTCACAAAAGAAGAACAATTTCAACCTCTAAGTAGTTCAAAAAGACAAAGGGTAAAATCAACCAAATGTCCTTCCTCAGAGTATGTCCTCATCAATGATGAAGGTGATCCAGAAAGACTTAAGGAGGTGTTGTCTCATCCAGAAAAGAGTCAATTGATGAAAGTCATGCACGAAGAGATGGGATATCTACAGAAAAATGGCACATACTAGCTAGTTGAACTTTCAAACGGCAAAAGACCTCTTAAGTGCAAGTGGGTCTTTAAACTCAAGAAAGATGGAAATGGCAAGTTGGTCAGGTACAAAGCTCAATTGATTGTAAAATGCTTTTAACAAAAGAAAGGTATTGATTTTGATGAAATTTTTTCACTTGTTGTCAAAATGACTTCTATTCGAACTATTTTGAGCATAGAAGCTAGTCTAGATCTTGAAGTGGGGCAATTGGACGTGAAAACTGCATTTCTTCAGGAGATTTGGAAGAAGAGATTTATATGGAGCAACCAGAGGGATTTGAAGTATCTGGAAAGAAATACATGGTGTGCAAATTGAATAAGAGTCTTTATGGATTGAAACGGGCCCCAAGGCAATGGTACAAAAAGTTTGACTCTTTCATGAAAAGTCAAACGTACACAAAGACCTATTCTGATCCATGTGTATACTTCAAAAGATTTTCTGTCAACAATTTTATTATTTTGTTGTTGTATGTGAATGACATGTTAATTGTAGGACAAGACAAAGAGCTGATTGCAAAGTTGAAGAAATATTTGTACAAGTCATTTGACATGAAAGACTTGGGCCCAGCACAACAAATTCTAGGGATGAAGATTGTTCGAGAACGAACTAAAAGAAAGCTGTGGCTATCTCAAGAGAAGTACATTGAATGTGTACTAGAACGCTTCAACATGAAGAGTACTAAACCTGTTAGCACGCCTCTTGCGAGTCATCTAAAGTTGAGCAAACAAATGTGTCCTACAACAAAAAAGGAGAAAGATGGAATGGCTAAAGTTTCTTATTCATCAGCAATGGAGAGTTTGATGTATGTGATGGTGTGTACAAGACCTGATATTGCTCATGCAGTTGGTGTTGTTAGCAGATTAAGAGCACTAGGAGGCAATTAAGTGGATACTCAAGTACCTAAGAGGTACCACAAAAGATTGCTTGTGTTTTGAAGGATCTGATCCAATTTCAAAGGGCTATACTGATGCTGATATGGCAGGTGACCTCGATAATAGAAAATCGACTACTGTATATTTGCTTACATTTTCAAGGAGAGCTATATCATCGCAGTCAAAGTTACAGAAGTGTGTCGCACTCTCTAAAACTGAGGCAGAATATATTGCAGCTACTGAAGCTGGCAAAGAGATGGTATGGCTGAAACGATTTCTTCAAGAACTTGGATTGCATCAGAAGGAGTATGTCATCTATTGTGACAGTCAGAGTGCAATAGACTTGAGCAAGAACATCATGTATCATGCAAGGACGAAGCATATCATCGTGAGATATCATTGGATTCGTGAAAAGATAGAGGACAGATCTATGCAGGTCATGAAGATCCCTACTAGTGAAAACCCGTCAGATATGTTGTCCAAGGTGGTACCAAAAGACAAGTTCAAGTTATGCAAAGAACTTGTTGGCATGTACTCAAGCTAGAAACCTAGAGCTACCTCCTTCAGGGTGAATGAGTCTGGAGGGGGAGATTGTGGGGTCCATCCCCATGTACCAAACTTTGAATAGCTCTCTGCCAATTTCAAAGTTTGGTAGATTTGGTGATGAATTATTTTTTAGCTTTACTTAATTTTCAATAGTAGGTAAGCTATGAAGAAGAATTAAATTGTTTTCTTTTGTAGCACATTTGGAGGGCAGTGCATTTGTTTTCTATAAAAGGGAGGACAATTCTTCATTCTAAGTGCACCAAAAAAATTTGCAAAGGAGAGAAAAGAAGAGTGAGGCATCATAGAAGAAAATAATATGTGAGGAAAAATAGAGAGTGTGAGCTATACTATAGTGAGGTGGAAAAATCAAAAGAGGGTTATTTCTTTTGAGTATGTAGTGATCTTTGGAGTTTACTCAGACATACAAGTGTAAAATCGTTACTATAGTGATATTCGTTGCTCCTCTCATGTCGTGGTTTTTTCCCTATTTAGGAGGATTTCCACATAAAATGTTGGTGTCATTATTTCTCTTTTATTCTCGTTGATTAAACGTATTGTTGTGTTCCACATTTATTGCCTTTATTACCACAAATATTATTTCTGTTACGGATTTATTCCCAACAGAGTGTTCCTAAGGGGGAGATATTGTAACACCTAGGGTTTCAAAAACAACTAAAGAAAGGCTCATGCAAGTCAACTATCAATTTTTCGTTTGGGTCAGATTTGATTGATTATATCTTTTAGCACATAAAGATTTAGGTGACCCATGATGAACAATTAAAGTTTTGAGTCATCTTTCCAACGCTGCCAAGTTTGCTTAGTTTCGAGCTCGGAGCAAAAGTTATGGCTATTTAAGTGAAATTCTCTTTGTTAAAGATATCTCATTCGTTTTTAGTAGGATAGTTTGGTCTTTTTCTTTTCCTACTGAGCCTAGACAAGTTTTTCTTCACCCCGAATAAGGTTATAATCAATATTAGAGCACTTTTTCACGTTCCTAAACACTTACAGAATTAGAACAAGATTTCAAGAAGAGAAAATGCTAGATTTCAAGCGTTTTTCAAGAATTATGGATTTCGCCAAGAACATTATTCTTTTTAGGTATGTAAGGATTCTCACAATGTTGGACTTATTCTTCCTCACGCCATACATCTGTAATTATCCACAAAATTGTTTATTCAAAGAATTCTTACGTAGTTCTTGATTTTAGTTCAATTCTTGAACAATGGAGGTTGTGAATTTTCTTATGTTAATCTTTGGTAAAAGTTATTTTTCCCAAAAGGATTGTTGGAATTCCTTATGTATTCGTGTGAACTTGAATATCGTAAGTTTTGATTCATCCACTTCATAATTAATAAGGATAAAATGGTAAACTTACTATGTTAATAATTATTTTCTTAATAAGTGCGTTAATTTAAAAAAGCACCAAGTAACTAAGGGCAGAGGGAGTATGATGTGAATTCAGATGTTCTCTCTCACACTCATAGCTAGGCGGGTTGCAATTTTCTTAGTCAATAATTGGTGAGTCCTCCGTATGTAGAGACTTCATGAAGTAGCAAGTAGTTAGAACTCTCATTTTAAACATAGATTGCTTTTGATGATAGTTAGAGGCCATGTTCCAACAAACTTACTTCATTTCACTCCAAGTAGTAAAGGCTTTGGTCCAGACATTAGTTACTTAATTTTTGCATGAAATATTGGTCATCCTATGGAGTTACATAGTTAGCATTTTTCCAAGTCAATTAATTATGTTTCAGGTTCCATTTGCAGTTCATAGAATGTTAGTTTAATTGTTAGTTGTATGTCAATATCGAGGATTTGCTTGAGTTTACTAGTGGTTCTAAGTACCGCACACATAGACTCAGATCATGATGGTCGATCGCTTCTTTAAAAAACTATGTAGTCGATGTTGGTTTTCCTCCTATGCTTATTCATGAATATCCCCTAGAAAATTACGTAACGTAACTACTCTATTCATAATTGTAGGGAGTAGATAAGATTGCTTGTGATTGACTAAGACATGCTATTTTAGACAGTACTTGATAACTTTTGGCTGGTTCTTGAATTTGACTAAAATTGTCACATTATTTGAACATGTGACATTACCTTATTAGTCTTGAATTTGACTAAAAATCAAGTCACCTTGATGCATGACATGAATTTAGGCTTGAAACCTAAAAAATAAAGCTTTGGATTGAATTTAATTAACACTTATTTATTTGTAAAGCAAAAATCAATTATTCAATCCAAATGGTCATGAATTTAAGCTAAGAAAAAATGCTTTAATGCTAATGAGAATACATAAAATTAAACTAAAACAACAATACCATGGAATTACTTGAAATATAAGTTGTTTATTAATGTCAATTCCAAACACTAATAGTACAATAAAAGAAAACAACAACCATTCAAAGAAAATGATTAGAAGATCAATCAGCTAGCTCAGACTTTCAAAAAAAGAACTTAGATTATCATATAAATGCAACAGATGTGAATTAGTCACTTGTCAGCAAATCTAAGAAGAAATTTAAAAAGTTCATGGGGCTTAGACATCATGACCATATGGTCAGCGCCCTCGATCTCTTTCACTTCTTCAGGTGGATTACTTTCGATCATCAACTGTTGAAATTCTTTTTTTAAAAGTTTATCTTCAGAAGTCACAACAAACGCTCGCCTAATTGATCCATATCTTTTTCTCGAAAGAATTATCTCCTTCGAAACATCTTCCACACTAAAAAAAAAAATTTCCCTTACTAATGTAGTGGCCAACGCCAAATCCTAACACCAAGAAAGAAAGAAAAATAAATCAATTTCAAGTTGCAATCCAGTATTTGAATAAATATGTAGTAATTTGTATTATGATTTTCTTACCTGAATTGGGCTCTGTTGGTAAACATTACTTGCCAAGTACTTTGGACCCAAAATGAAGATTGGAGGATTCGAAGGCCCATTATGGTATATAACACGATTATCAAGTTTCGATACTACTGCATTGCATAACTATAACGAAGGATATTTAGATACGACTGCATTACATAACATATTTATCTCATGAAATATAAGAATTTGGTACCTCTATGTAGACATTGCCTGCATTGATATTTGGACCAGGCATTAAACCAGCAACAAATACAGCACCTGAAATTTTTTCTGGAAAAAGTTCCATGGCTTTCGAAATGGCTAGACCACCAATGCTATGGCCAACAAGAACAACATTTTTATGTGTAGGAAGAGAAGTCATGAACTCGATTAACGGACTCAAGAAATCAGAAAAATGTGTGATTTCGAGAGCCTGTTTCGAGTTGATTCCTGAAGAACCTAAGTCAAGAGCTGTGACATTATGCCCTGAAGATTTCATTAATGCTATTATTCTGTACCATGACCAGGCTCCATGACATGCCTTATGAACCAACACAAAGTGCTTTGTAGTAGCTTTAGGCCTTGACAAGGTTGCATTTACATAGGGCAATACAAGTATTAGAACTACAAGTCTTGTTAGACAATTGCTTTTCTCCATTTCTTTTTTTTTCTTTGAAGAATGAGCATAAAATTTAAATTATTGCATAACAACTTTATAAATCCAGGATTTGTCTTTTTCTTACTTATTTCCATTGGTACAAAATCTACTCCAAGTCTCCTACTCTAATAATAATAATATCAAGTCAATAAATGGATGATAGACATGTGTTTATACTAAGTCTTTCAACATTTAATCATGATGAGCAATGACATAATATATACTGTTTTTTAATTTGGCTTCAGTTGATATCTATGTTCTCCAATTTTGGATGTGCACAAGTAGACATGAAATGTTGTATAAAATAGAGCAAGTAGACGCATAGGATACAAAATTATCATGTAGAACATAGGACTAATCATGTGTCAATTTGTTCAATTTTTATACAAGCTTAAGTGTCTACTTGTGTACATCCAAAATTAAATAGTATAAATATCAGTTGATGCCAAGTTAAAAATATGTTTATATATTATGGCTTGGTCAATATATATGCACGATGTTAAATCACTTAATTATAATGAAGTTATATATTTTAGAGTGATTATTATGTTGTGTTCAAGTAAGTATTTACCACTGTCGTTGCGCTATTATTTTAGGCATTTGATTATTAGGTTAGAGCTTTTAAATTTCTACATGTGAAAAAAGAAAATGTGTTTGAATTGCAATAAGTTACAAATTAATGATCCGTCTGTTTGATGTTAACCCCTCAACAAATATAGTTCAAAATAATAACTACAAATTGATTACCCTTTTTGTAAGGAATCAGCAAGGTGTCGGTAAGGGGTAAGAATTTAATTTCAATTTCAGTACATATATATTTCCTGTTTTATGGATTTAGATTGTGTTTGCAATGGAGTTCTCTAAATATATATGTATTTATATTTGATTGATCAAATATTTAAAAAATATTTTTTTCTAGTAAAACAAATTTTTTAAAATGAGGAGGATGACTTTTCTAATAAAAGTAAAAAAAATAAATTATATAACTGACATTTTAAGTTAATCGTCTCACCCCTACTTATTCAATCCTCTCCCAAACGCCTACTTGATCATTCAACCCACCTGTCTAGTCCCTACTCATTCAATCCTTCCCAACCCCTACCCCTCGACCATTTAACACCCGAACCTCCGCTCACCATCTTATTTCATTTCGATAATATTTTATTTAGAGCTGTTAATATGGGCTAGGCTCGTTGGGCTGGCCTGACCTAACCCGGGATTTAGTAGGGCTGGGCTAAGATTTTTGGAACTCATTTGAGAAAAGGGATATTTAGCCCGGCCTGAAAAAGTCTGCTCATTTCGGGGGCTTGAGAAATATCGATAGGACCGGGGCGTGGACCAATAAAAATTAATAAAAAAATATAATATAATATTAAAATTTAAAAATAAAGAGATTCCAAAATAAAAACATTAGTTTAATATTTCTATTAAGATATTTGTACTTTTAGTTGAAAAAAAATTAATAAATATTAAGGAAAATGCACAAGTACCCCCTAAACTATGATCGAAATTCCAGAGACACATCTTAACTAAGCTAAAGTCCTATTACCCCCTGAACTTTTTTTTTTGTAATTTTATACACTTGTTGTCTTATGTGGCATTCTATGTGACTCCACGCAATTGAGGCGCGTCGGACATATTTGGATGTCACGTAAGCCAAATGGGTACACAAAATTGTAAATAAAAAAAGTTCAGAGGGTAATACGACCTTAGTAAGGTGTGTCTTTGGGATTTCGATAATAGTCTTGGGGGTACTTGTGTATTTTTCCTAAATATTATAAAGATAATTTTATTTGTGAATTTGATTAACAGGTAGTGACATTAAGGTCTCATTTGTTTCCATTAAGATTAAGACGTCTGAATTTGAGTACGCATTTAAATATTAAGATGTGCATTAAGATCTAGATGTGTAAATCTGAATACACATCTTAATATTAAAATAGTCTCTGAATCTGAACACTAAATTATTGGAACAGTTTGTTTTCAATATATGAATGCACATTTGAAATTAAACGTAATATCCATAAAATATTATCAAAACCTTGTTAGTAAAATATTTTTTTCATATAAAATAATATTTTGAACATTTTTTACCGTGACAACATAATATGATTTATCTTTTACGAACTCAACATCAAGTTACATCATTAATATGACTATTTTTTCACTCAAAATACTTTGAAAATCTAATATAATGCAATTGAAAATAGTTTCTATAGAGTAGTAAATATATTGTTTAAAAATAATTTTATTTTATTTTATTGTAAAAATTTATTATTGTTATCGATAAAATAACTAATACTTTCTTATTTTTTGAAACCGTGCTAAATATTATATTATGGGAGTGCTTATCAATTAAAATATATTGATTAATTTATCAAAGTAAAAGATGTATATTAAGTTAATATGAATAAAGAAAATTATAATGGCAAGCATGTAATTAAATACTAATTAAATAAGAAAACAACTTTTATGAGTTGTTGTGATTTAGTTAAATTAAGATAGGAGTCTTATTTTTAAGTATGAATAGTGTTAAAGGTGTGTTACAGATCTGATTCATTCAGATATATCCAGGCCCATTAAGATGCTTATAATAAAATAAAACAAACGAACTTAATGAAGTGAATCTGAATAATTAAGATTCAGTTCTTAAAAACAAATACATGAGGCAGATCTTAATGATTAAGATTCAAACCCCATTAAGTGCAAACAAATGAGGCCTAACATAATTTAATATTGTTTTTTCGATATTTATGAAAATATTTTTAAATTATATTTTTTAATTTAATAATTATAAAAATATATATATTTTAAAAAGTGAGTTGGTCTGGCAAGCTTGTAGCCCACGTACTTGTGGCTGACCAATCATTTTCTGGCCCACACCAAAAATGGGTTAGCCCGGCCTGACCAATAAAATGTCAAAGCCTGTATGAATTAGCCGGAGTGGGCTAACTCATATTGACAACTCTAGTTTTACTAGATAATATAAAAATGCTTTTGAGATAATATATTTTCTTTCTTACTAATCAAACAATAGAAAGAAAGTAAAATTTGTTTTGCAAAAAAATATTTTCAATAAAAAATATTTTATAAGACAGTTTAGGAAAGAATTTATACATTTCTTACATCATGTAACAATTAACTCTAATTAAGATATTTATTTCATCATTAGTGAGATAATTTATAGAGATATAAACATCTATGATTTTATTTAGATCATAAATTTTAAAAATCTATTTTAAACTCTCAATTAGGTTAAATAACATTACATTAAGTGGGAATGATTAGTTCATTTTTATTGATAAATGTCCTTAAGCCCTTCTTACAAAAGCGGATTTAGTTCATAACTCATGATGTCACCAATTTGAAAAAATCTATTCAAATATTTTATATATATATGTGTCAATAAATATATTTTTTTACTTATTTACTTGTCAACTTTTTTTTTTATAGTTGTTCCTAATTATTTGTTTATTTTGACAACTTAAAAAAAGACAAACTTTTCTTTTACCTACTATACCCTCAATTAAAATTACTTTGTGAAAGGTAAAACTTCATGAAAATCTTAAATTTTAATTCATCCACTTTATAATTAATAAGGATAAAATGGTAAACTTACTATATCAATAATTCTTTTCTTAATAGGTGTATCAATTTAAAAATAAATAAAAACTCTCAATATATAAATTTTGAATTCGCTTATACCTAGCTTCAAACAGAGTCGATAAAGCCTAGTGATGTTAGGTTCATTTTTAACCTAGTACTTTAAACAACGAAACATTAAATTCTTTATAAATATTCACTAAAATTATAATAAATAGTATCATATGATTCCATCTATATCAAAAATAAAAACACATTCAGTGCTAAAAAAATTTGAGATTGAATCCATTAAATTTAAATTTTTAACTCACCTTCTAACTCTAGTGTGAAATTATATTAACGTAATAGCTAAGTAGGTGAATCCATAAATAATAAAAGAATGGACCTTGAAACGCATAATAAAATAGTTGTAATTCCTACACCATTAAGTAGAAAGTTGAGCTTAATTATAAAATGGAGAACGTTTTTTCAATATTAATTAGTGTTACATGTTTTTTTATGAAATCATAACGTGAATGTTCTAGATTTGTCTCCCTTCTTTTGTTCACGCATAAAAATTGAAAATTTTCAAGTTAGTATAGTTTTGTATACTAAAGATGGGCTAAAAAGAAATTGAATGAAGAATGAATGTGTGGATCTTAAGTTATAATCAAGTTGAATTTCACGACACCTATAATTTTGTTTATTTTGGTTAACAGTTCTATCATTTCACCAAAAAATTTAGTTACAAATCAAGTGAATGTTAACCATTCACACTCTAAAAGTAATTAACAACGCCTATATATAATACTACAGGAAAATAATCAAAACAAACACAATTTACGCGAGCGCAATTTTCAATGATACTTGAACTTCAATTATTTTCTCTTTGTTCTTTTACCATGTATATGACCTTGCAAATCTTATTTCTCAGCCTTGATTAGGTCATTTTTATGTATACTAGCATCCCTTACTTACTCGGTACATTTTCACGTATTAACCACATACATTTCTTTGTGCTACATCTGTTTATGATGTAAATTCAAGCGTTCTTGGTCAGACTCGACATGCTTGTTTATTTCATTCCAATAGTAAGATAGTTCCATGGATTTTACTTGATTTTTATTATTCAGCCTTAAATTATATATGTATTCCATGTTCAGCTTCAATTATTTTTCATCATGAGTACTATTGTCTAGATATGATATATGGCTTTAATCCTGCGAGAATGAATGAAAATCCTCATGAGCCACCAATCCCCATTAGACCAAGAGGTTCAAACCCACTCGTTGTGCAGCTACCTCAGGCTGAAGTTATAACTTTTGTAGAGCTTTACAAGTCATAACTTTTTACTCAAAATTTGAAATTAATTTCAGAATCCAACCAGAAATGACTCGTGATAATCCTCGGAAGAGGTAAAACAACAATTTTATGAAAAAAAATTTATAAAAAAAGACCTTCCGAGTCATTAAATTAATAGTTTAACCAATAAAATCAAATTTCATAATTGAAAAATCATTGTCAAACACCCTTGTG